CCGGGTTCGGTTCCCACTAAGGGCACATACCTCGGTTGCAGTTTGTCCCCAGCCCTGGTTGGTCGTGCGGGCGACAGCCACTCGATGTGTCCCTGTCATGTTGATGTTTCTTTCTCTCTCTCTGTTCCTCTCCCTCCCTCCCACTCTACCTGAACAAAAAATGGAAAAATGTCCTCGAGAGGATTAAAAATTAATTAATTAATCAAAGAAATAACAATATAAAATGATTTTGAATATGTACTATATTTTAAGATATAACTTTATATAATTAATACGATTGTAGCAAAGTTAAAATCTTTGGTTATTATTAATATATTTTGGTTAGATAGCATGAAAGTTACCAGTTAAGGAATTTGGGGGTGAAGTGTCAGTCATAATGTCTGCAACTTATTTACAAGTGGTTCAACTTACTTGAGAGAAAGAGAGATATTAAAGGTGGCAAATGCTGAAAAGTAAAATATAACAGTACAAAATAATGTAAGGCAAAATTCTAAGTTTTTTTTTAAAAAAAGATAAAACTCAAGAACAAAGAGTTTTATTTAATATAAATTATTATGCAGGATTGGCTAATTAGGGGAGAGTAGTTGGGTGGGACTCCTGGGAAAGGTGATTAAAGTGGTCTATTTGGGGGGATTTACCGCCTCTGTCTGTTTTGCCCTTTGTCCTTCTTCGTTCCTCCTTTACCATTCTCAGAAGGCAGACCTCTAGCAGGAGCCAGAGTGAGGCAGCTATTGTACAACCAAAGGGAACGACCAAGAGAAGCTCCACGATCTTGGACCTGACATCCCTGAGTTTCCTACTATTAGCAGCATCACCTACTCTAACCTAATTTTTGTGTGAAAAAAAAAAAACTCCTGTGACAGAGGTTCCCAAATGTTCTAAGTTCATGGCATAGCATTCTCAAAGTCTTGGTAATTTTTTCATGGTGCCCCTAGGCCAAAAGGAACACCTAACACTTCTATTTATTAAGTCATTAGGTGTCAACAACTTAATAGTATTTATGTGCTAACAACTTATTAGCTGTTTGGGAAAAAATAATCCACAAACATTAAAAATAAAAGTATTTTTATTTCATTGTTAACCACCATTGCTAATGAAATGTGTGTTCCAATTTTGCCCCCTACTACTTCTCAAGCCTTGGAATCAGACTGGATTCCACCACCTACACCTCCTAGTCCACATTAAGCAGACTGCCCTTCCTAATGTGAGTGGGCCTCGACCAATCAGTTGAAGGACTGACTAGAAAAAAAGTTTGACCCTATACCAAGTAAGACAGAATTCTTTCCTAAATAACTACCTGTAAACTGGGACATTGGCTTTTTTCTGCCTTCGGACTCAAACTGAAATATCAGTTCTTCCTGGGTCTCCAGTCTGCTTGCCTTCACGAAGGAACTATACCAATACCTCTCCTAATTCCAGGCCTTTAGAGTTGGACAACTAAATCATCAGCTCTCCTGGGCCTCCAGCCTGCTTACTTATCCTGCAGATCTTAGAACCTGTCAGCCTCCATAATCATGTAAGCAAGTATATCTTTTTATATAAATTACGTAAGTCTTTTTGGATGGATGGATGGATGGATGGATGGATGGATGGATGGATGAATGGATAGATAGATAGATAGATAGATAGATAGATAGATAGATAGATAGATAATGTTCTACTGTAGATATAGAGATAGAGATACACAGATATATCTATCACCTATTGGTTTTGTTTCTCTAGAGAACCCAGACTAATACACTCACAGAGTCACTGGTTCTTTGTACGTATTGTTGTGGGTCATGGCATTGTTAATAAATCATGAAAAAGCAATGACAAAGCCAGGGAGAAATGTTAACCTCAAGCTTATTACATCACTCCCAAGGTTAAAACCCTTCAACAGCTCACCAGTGTCAAGGTACATCTAACCTCCTTGATGTATCATTCATAATCCTTCATCTAGCTTCTGCTTAATTCCTCTCCAACCTCATTCCTTACCATAGTCTTTGTGCCCTCCAACAGAAATCAGGTGAAAGTCCATGGAATGCACCATGATCTCTCCCTTCCAGGTTTTGAGTATGCTTTTCTCTCTACCCAAAATAAGTTCCAGACAGCCCCCTCACATGCACATGCACACACACATACTCAGACAGAGGACATACACATTGCAAGGCTAGCTCCTCATCCTTCTAGTGTCTACCTAGATATCTTACTTTGCTATCAGATCCACTTACCAAGCATCCCTGGGAACCCCTTCAAATGTTGCTATGTATCCTTGTCAGTGCTTTATTTTAACTAAATTCAACTCCTTGAGGACCATGACTGTGTTTTAATGGCTATTGTATCCCCCAAACAGTGACTCACCCATAATATTTGCTCAATAATTATTTGTTGAGTAAGTGATTGGATGAAGTTCAATCAGTCCCAGATCAGCATTCTCAACCAGTTATTGGCTTTGTTTAGGAACTGTCAACCAAGATCTGAAAAGGACATATTCAGCCACTCCTGGCACCATCCAGACCACTGGTGGTATCCAATCTGCAAGGCCAGGGGGGATAATAATATGGTTGTCTTCGACCCCTTATCCATGCCCATGCATGCCCCAACCATGCAGATTTAAAACAAGCACTATAAGCTTGAAAGCTGAGCAAGGAGTCAGAAAATTGAAAAGAGAAGAATGAGAAAACTAAAGCACTTTTTAAAAACCATTATTATATTTACAACTCTGGTCACCATCAAAGTAATATTCCCAAACTCCTTACTGGCTGGAAATGCTAAAGTTACTTATTCTTTCTAGACCTTAGTTCCCTTATCAGTTGAGCATAAAACTCAAGGCTGTTATAAGAAATAACTGAGACTGTGTATTGGAAAGCACTTAACACAGTGCCTGATACAGATGAGTTATAATACAATAAATGCAAGTTATTAATACTATCACCATTATTATTGCCAGTCAGAATTTCAAACATAAGTATATATAAAAGCAAGCTACAGTTCACTAGTCAAGCATGAGCTGAAAGATTTTACTGGGTCTCAGTTCCTAAAAATCCAAACATATGAGCTTGACATTAAAGAACTTAACTTGCGCCCTGGCCAGTTTGGCTCAGCGGTTAGAGCGTCGGCCTGCGGTCCGGAGAGACCCGGGTTCGGTTCCCGCTAAGGGCACGTACTTCGGTTGCAGTTTGTCCCCGGCCCTGGTTGGTCGTGCGGGTGGCAGCCACTCGATGTGTCCCTTCATGTCGATGTTTCTCTCTCTCTCTCTCTCCCTTCCTCTCTCTCTCTCCCACTCTATCTCTACAAAAAATGGAAAAATATCCTCGGGTGAGGATAAAAAAAAAAGAACTTAACTTGCCTTGCCGTGAACATAGCCACCAGACAATGACAGCTCTTCTGGATGCAGCCCCGGGGGAAAAATTTTCCTATACTTATACATAATATCAGTAGCTCTAATTAATAAAACAACCAAACCTAGACCAAAATAAATAGATTTAAAAAAGAAAAGAAAAAAACAATCTACACATATATTTAGTGGGTTTTTTTTTTTAATCTACCAATTTATACCAACTTCTCCAGGCATAGACACTAAAACAAACAACTTTTTGGTTACTTGCCTGATATAAATCATTATTCACCATAACTAGGTGACTTATGAGTTAAATTAGTGAATGGCTGTTCAGAGGCTGCTAGTAATTTTATTTGGTGGTATAAACACTTAATATAAACATTTAAAACTAAATGCTAAAAATACTTAAAGGAATACATAATTGTGCTACTTTATATAACAAAGTTATATTCTACATGGGATACATACTCTTTCTTTTTCTAGCCCAAATATACATATCATGTGCAATATAATCTCATTAAGTAAACATCAGTTTCTAGAGACAGCATGTCATTCAAAAAATTTGCTAGTCTTCAATAATGATTCATTAATATAAAATATATGGTCATTTTGCCTTGGCCGGTTTTGCTCAGTGATTAGAGCGTCGACCTGCAGTCCAGAGAGACCTGGGTTCTGTTCCCACTAGGGGCATGTACCTCGGTTGCGGTTTGTCCCCTTTGTCCCCGGCCCTGGTTGGGTCGTGTGGGTGGCAGCCACTCGATGGTCCCTTTCACATCGATGTTTCTCTCTCTCGCTCTCTTCCTTTCTCTCCCTCCCACTCTATCTGAACAAAAAATGGAAAAAATGTCCTCGGGTAATGATAAAAATAAATAAAATAAAATATATGGTAATTTGGAAGCATTCCAGATCTTGTTTCCCAGCAATTATCATCAGTTTTGGCTTAAAAAAAAAAAAAAACTCATAAAAATTCAAAAAAGTTTAATTAAATACATAAAATAAAACATATGGTAATTCAAATATTATTGAATTAAAAACACATTCTCTCTGAATTTCAAATTAACCAGGCTTTCTCGTTCTCCACAAGCACAAAAATAGACCTTTTCATTATTTTCTTCTCGCTTCCTTCTCTCTTGTTACTAGCAGTATTAGAAAAATTATAGGTTCTGCTCTTGAATAATGTTTTATCATTTCTATGTGTTAATTCCCCATTTTATAAAGTGTCTCCCTTTTTTAAAAAATTTCTTTCCTCCTAAACAGAACCCAACTAGCATACTGATGGTTCCAGCCACCCTTGTCTCTCCTCTATGGCCTGCAGAATCTAGCCCTTGGTGAGCCAGGGCAGAGCGCTGTATATCCAGAGGGTAGGACCTTGCTAAATCTGCCCTTTCCCTTTCACCACTACCACCACCCTACCTCCTTGTTTCTGATCTTTCTCTCTTGCCTTCCACTCCACTTCACAGTTCCATGAGATATCACATTGACACCTGTGGGCTTCTAGTCCTCACGCACATATATGTATCCTCTGTCTTCCCAAGCAAGCTACATATCATTTTGAGACCATCAACTTTGACCCTGACATGGAATCATGTATTTTTCCATAGGATGTTCCGGGAGAAGGGACTAGGGGGAGAAAAAAAGTACTTTCCACTTTTAAAAGATCCCAGAAAGACAATCCTACCTTTCCCAGGATTTGGAGGAAAAGGACTTCCAAACTCCTGCTGCTTTGGCTTTAAAGTATGTGGCCCTGACATGCCTCCGGCCTGGGTGACCTGGAATCGTGACTTCCCATTGGTGATCACTTGTCTCCTGGGGCTCAAGGCGGGCAAATGGATGGGGCTCTCAGCCATGTTGCTCTGAGGAACCATCCCTCCTCCCGAGGGCATCTTGAGATGGAGACTGTTAGCAAGGCTTCCAATACCAGGGCTTGGTGTGCTGCCACAGGACGAGGGGCCAGGAGTCCCCGAGTGGGCTCGGATGGGAGGAATGTGTTGGCCACTGACCATCCCAGGCCCCTGTGGGGTTCCTGATATCCGGTAGAAATTCATGCTGCATGACCTTCCATTCATTTTGAAAAAACCTGTGGCCAAGATGGTCAAATATCCAATGGCACTAATGACTCCTTTCAGGCAAAGTCCAATAAGTTATCCATGGTGTGGGTTTTTAGCCTGTTTAAAAAAATAAATGCAGGCATTTTTAAAAGTAAAATAAAAAATAAGTTACAGTGAGTTTTCAACCCATGTAGAAAAGAAAAGCAGCACTCTTAGCAAAAGGGCCTTTTATGTAAGCAGGGTCATCAAATACATGGTTCACTGGCAGGCACTCTCCTCTCCTGCATTCATGGTAGACATGGATTATGGATCACTGCATTGTTTTGTTTGCCACTGAGCCCTTCTCAATACAGTGCTCTTGGCAACTACAACCAACCTACTGGTGCCAGCTTGCAAAGTGAAACTTATTTTACTCCCTAGAGGATCTGTCTGTACTAGTTCACTTCTGCTACAGTGAGTCTTGGAAAAACCAAAAGACATCACCTACATGAGCTGTAAGACCGATGCACCAAAGGTTCTAGGAAACAATCTAATGGCAGATATATCCTCTAAATGAGAATATGAGGACATTAAACCATCTCTGATTTTCACTCTAAGAGCAATTTTTTCATAGTCCCTAGATTCACAAAAGATAAAAATACAGGCCTGGGACTCTCACAAAGGCTTCATACATCCACATACCAAATATTCAGAGCAGCATTTGAGTCTTGGTTCCATACTGATCCTGAGTTAAGGGGATGGAAATAGAATCAACATCACAATATTCTTGCCTTCCATTAAGATCCTAGAAAAGGAAAAGGCTGTGAAATATGCTTTATGGAAAGTATAAAAAAAGATCATCCCTTTTAAAGGTATGTTCATCATGGACCAAACATGGTAAGTCAACCATAGTCCCACAAAGCTTCCATCTGTAATCCCACCATCCCCTTTCTCAATTACCAGAGAAGAACCAAAAGTACTGACATAGCCCTGGCTGGCCTCGCTCAGTGCTTAGAGTGTCAGCCAATGCACCAAAGGGTCACAGGGTCAATTCCTTGTCAAGGGCATATACCTGAGTTGCAGGTTCGATACCCAGCCCCGGTCAGGGTACGTGTGGGAGGCAACCAATCAATATGTCTCTCTCTCATCAATGTTTCTCTCCCCCCCATCCCTCTCTCTCTCTCTACCCTTTTTCCCATCCCTTCTACTCTCTCTAAAAATCAATGGAAAAAATATCTTTCAGTGAGGATTAACAAAAAAAAAGTACTGACATGACCACAGGACATCATCATCCATCTGTATTCAATAATATCAATACTCCCTGGTTACAAATCATTAGGGAAAGTCTTTCTCTCTTGATCAATAGCTTCCCCAAATATATGTATAGTCAATGAGGTGACTAAGTAACACCACTCCTAATGAATGCAAACACAGTCACAATCTGTTTTCTTTTATATAGACATTACAATCATGGAAAGAAGCCAAAGTTGAACAAACAGAGGAAAGATGGACTGGCTATAAAGCAGTAGTGGCCAGATACCCTCAACCGGATGATTTCTACTTTTTCTGTATGACTTACTCAATGCCTTAGACAAATATTTCCAATCAACTACCAAATGAATGGCTCCATCAATCATCAAGGACAGGATACCAAGAAGGGCAAATTTTTGATGAAAAGTTTTTTATTTTCTTTTATCAATTTAGAAAATCAAAAATACTTAATTTTCAAGTCAGGCACTCACTGTGCCTTCTGCAAAGTTGACTATATGTCCCTATTTTGAAAAACTTCAAAAATAACTAACAATATAAAATTTGGAATATTTTCTTCATCTCTAACAATTCTCTCTTTTATTAAGAATTCTATCAGTCTGTCACATTTAATACTGCCATGCCATCATCTTGTCCTCAGAAGCACTCCTAGGTCTTGTTCCTGCCCTTCTCTTCACTACAGTTCCTGAGAATGGACAAATATATCCAGGTTTAGCCAAACCTGTATCATTTATGCTTGTTTATGGATAATAAGAAATTAATTCTGATATCAGACCAGTTGTAAGAGTGTTTTTTCACATTGGAAAAATTTCAATGCCTTTTCTTCTGTGTCCATTTAGAAGAACTCAACTGTATTACCAGCTGGTCTATTGATTTATTGGTTGATCGTGGGCAAGAATCATTTAATGTCTCTATGCTTTGCCAGTAGCCTCCTAGTCTCCACTCATTGATAAAATAGTGTTTTCTGAGCACTCTGAACCCTGCAGAAGAAAGCACTTATTCAGTACCAACCAACAAAAAAGGGCAAGATAAATATGTTGTATTGGCAATTTGTTAAAAATGAGGAATTATCCAACATGACTGGAAATATGAGTCACTAAGACCATGGTCCAAGTGACAAATGTCTGCAGATTTGCAGACTGTGCCCATTTCCAAGTTTTTAAAAATAAAGGAGTCATTTTTGGCAGCAAGATCATACGCAAGCAGAAATTATCATCAAAAATCTGGACAAAACACATAAGTAGGTACTTAGCATTAGACTAGATTATTAATAAGGTTAAATTTGTGAGAAGTAAAAATAATTAAAACACTGAAAACTTAATTATCAGACACTCATTCCTGCCTGTCAGATTGGATATATATATTTTTTTTTTTTTACAAACTATACTGCTGTTTCAAATAGCTTTAGGTTGAAAGTAAAAGCAACAACAAAACTGTACTTAAATTTTATTACTAAAAAAGTGACAGCCAGAAAGTAAAGTGATTAATACCATAGGAAAACAATAGGCCAATGGCCTGTGGGCTGGAAAACAAAAAGAGTCTCAAGACAAAAATAAAATAAATCGTATATGAAAATATGCCTGCCCTGGCTGGTCTGGCTCAGTAGTTAGAGCATTATTGGCTCTCAGACCAAAGGGTCGAGAGTTTGATTCCAGTCAGGGTCATGGACTTGGGTTTCGGGTTTGAACCCCGGCTCCAGTCGGGATTGTGCAGGAGGCAATCAATCAATGTCTCTCTCACATCAATGTTTCTCTCTCTCTCTCTCCTTCCCTCCCTCTCTTCCACTCTATCTAAAATCAGTGGAAACATATCTTAGGATGAGGATTAAAAAAATTTTTTTTCAGGTATAATTCTAAGTCTACTTGGTAACAAGAAAGGAATAAACTGCTCACTTATAAGAATGACACATCCTTGTTGAATCAGAGGGAAAGAGCACTCAACTAGAAGTCAGGACACCTGACTCTACTACTGGCAAATCATTTACAACCTTCCTGGACTTACAGTTTTCATCCACAAAAGGAGGAAGTCTCTAGAAATTCTGTTCTTTCAGATAATTAAGATAAGGAAGATTATAAAAAATAGCCTTTTGCTATGATCAAGGATAAATGTGTAGATTTTATACCTCTGACACTTAAATCAAGGAAACTGGGTCAACATGGAAGCAAATATGGTATCTACCCACCCCATGAGAGCAGGAGCTGACCGGAGGCTCTCATGACAACAATGCGCTGGAAGACAACACTTACTTTAAAAAGACAGATATTAGGATTCAATTTTCCTACACCTTGCCAAAAAGTAAAATCACAACTAGTCAGTATCAAAACCTAACTGGTAGGAAGACTCCATTGGAGGAGCATCTTTCTACTTAAAAACTTAATCAAGTTCTCCAGCACTACTTTCTCCTCTGCCCTCCATCCAACTACTCTAACCCAAGGTATCAACAGAAAAAGAGAAGAAAAAGAAAAAAAGCAAAGAACATCCAGAAGTACAAATCTAAGGTACCAAGAATGTGACATATTGGTACATTTAGATGTTTAATATTCCGTTGGTTCAAACAATAAAGATAATCATTCTGCTACAGGAGTCAGCATGAGTTTATAAATCTTTCTTTTTGACAACTGTCAAACTCTTAAAAACACTCCTGTAAGTCAAGTCAGAGAAAACAGTTACTTAACTTCTAGGAAACGAAGGCACAAAACCATTTAATAATTTCACTAGTTTTCTGGGAAACCTGTGACTTGAATCAAAATACAAAAATCATGGCTCTATCTTCTAAGCAAGGCTCTAGGCACGGTTTCTTGTGGATTAAAAGATTAAACAAACAAAAAGCAATGTTAACTCATCCATTCAAGAAAATTCCAAAAACACGAGCTCTATGGTGCCTATTTACAGCCAAAAGCTCTTTCTTAGTAAATATCATTAATAAACTCATCTAGAGTTATAATTCATCTGATGAGCCAGTTAATTATTAATTTTCATACATCATTTCATTTTCTTAGGCTACATTTAATCTTTGTTATATTTTCCATTCCTTATGCCACAAGCATTTCTTACCCTGCATAGAAAACCTGATAATGAGGCACGAAATACTGATCAGCAAACAAACTGCTCCTAAGCTGGCTCCTTACATAGATGTCTAAGCCATCTAAAGTAGAGTTTTATTGATTCTTTTTATTTTTTTCCCTTTGGGTTAATGATTGTATAATTTCATTAACATTGCCTTTTCAACATCGCTGCCTTGATCACTAATAGGCCCATGCTATTCCCATAGGCTTCTCTCGTTACAGTTTTTGTAGCCAGAAGAATATAGAAATGAAAAGCCTATTGATAGATAATGTAAGTTATTCTCATGCACGGCTGCCGTGTGAAGCACATTTTGCAATTCAATCAAGGACAGATAGAGCTGAATGTTCTTAGATCCCAGGAGTTCATTTTGATAAGCAGAATGTACCTTGTCCTAACACAGGTGACTGACTCCTCAGAAAAGATTGTATAAACAAAAACCAATCGTGTAAGTCATTTTATTGGCAACAATATAAACACAGCTATATTAGATGTCACCAATAAATCAAAATTATTCTTGTCTGCAATTTTAACAAGAGGAAAGTGCAAACATGAGCCTGTGAAGCTGGAGGATATTATAGAGGAAATGCACTGGACGTGTACATTCTTTTTTCGAAATTGAAAGAGAGGGTACTAATACATCAAGATAAAGTAGCCCACAACAAAGTATAGTTGATCATTTCTGTGGTTTCATAACTTTATTCAGTAAAACTGGCAGATTCACAGACTTGAGAACAGAAGTCACACAGAAACAAGGCTGGGATCATCCCACATTATTGGGATGTGAAGCAAAAATGTAGGGAGGT